AATATTATCTAGCAATAACAAGATATTAAATACTAATACATGCGACAACATGGGTGAACCTTAAAAACATTACACTAAATGAAATGTTAGTCACACACACACACACATACACACACACACACACATCCAAAAACAAAAAACAAAAAACAAAACATTAATCTGGGCACAGTAACACACATCTGTAATTCCAGCTATTTGGGAGGTTGAGGCTGAATTTGAGTTCAGCCCATGCATCACAGCAATGCCCTGTCTCAAAAAAACAAAAACCCCACAAATTGTATATTTGTATTTATATGGAATGTCTAGAATCAACAATTCCACAGCAGTTGCCTAAGGGTGTGGGTTAAGAGAACATTTTAGGGGAATGGGGGAGGGGCTGCCAATGATGTGTAGTTTCTCTGAGCAGTAATGAAAGTATTCTGGATTTAGATAGTGATGGTTATTACACAACTCTGTGAATACACTAAAACCATGGGACAGTATAGTTTGAATGGGTGAATTGTATGGTATACAAATTGTATCTCAATAAAACTATTTTAAAAAAATACCACCAAGCCTATGGTTGAAGCTGAAGTAAAAGTTTTCTCTGATCCCTCTTTTCCCAATGAGGATTCCCTGAAAGGTCTTCCTAGATTTTTCATCTCAGGCAGGTCTTAAACTTCTTAGGGATCAGGGTTTTCTCCTCAACACAACACCATATCCTTTAGGTCCTCCCCCTTCCTCTATTGCTACCCACTCGTCACTCAAAGTAACATTCCTAGCTTGAAACAGCTTTACCCTGTCTCTGGGCTCTGCAGGATCTCTTCCTTCTCCACAGTCACTTCACAGCTCAAGCTGCACCCTTCAGTGCTCCTGCCTGCATCACCCTTCCCTCTTTTCATTTTCTCTGGTCAAGCCAGACTAGCTTTCCCCCAGCTCCCTGAATTAACGATACCAGCTTTTTCTGTTCAGATGTCAGGTTTACAGGTCAGTACAAGCACATCTTAACAAAACAAAAGAGGAGCCAGGCATGGTGGTGCGCACCTGTAATCCCATTCTCTCCCGAGAGGATTGCAAGTTCAAGACCAGCCTCGGCAATTTAAGGAGGCCCTAAGCAATTTAGAAAGATCTTGTCTCAAAATAAAAAATAAAGGAGGTGGGGGGTGGGCTGCTGGGATGTAGGTCAGTAGTAAAGCACCTCTGGTTTCAATCCCCGGTACCAACCAACCAATCCACTGTCAAAAACAAAAACAAATAAAAAGAAGACAGGAAATATTTGTTTCTCCACAACTTTCTGAAAATTGACTCATCACTATTTCCCTGGGTCTCCAGTCAATCAAGATCTCCCTGCAACAATCTTACTGTTGGTTTGATGTTATCCTTTGCTTATCTACACGATGAAGCTCAAAGGTGAATGGAGTCCAGGTCCTCTGTGGCCCCTCCAGTTCTTACATTTTACCTTCATTTAACCTTTCCTAAGGGTGACTCCTAGTAACTGAGCATCCTGCTGCCTGAATGTTTCTAACTATATTTATAGCATTGGTGCTGAACTTAGGGGAGGGGTGCTTTGAAACTCATGTTGAAGGCAAGAAGATACAGAGAACAGGATTAGAACCTGGGGCCCTGAATTCTCTGTACCTTCTCCTTATCCAACCCCCTTCTCTGGTGCACACAGCCAGGTGACAGTGAGCACTTGGAATAGTTACTCATACTCTATTGTGCTATGAATCACCAGTGCCAACCATTATGAAGAAAGATTCTTATGGAAGAGAAGCACCAGAGAAGGTAAAAAAAATGTGGGTGCTTGAGGCCACTTCAGGACTGGGGCTTCGTGTATACTATCTTATTTAGTCCTCATGATAACCGTATTATTGTTTCCCATTTTATAGGTAATATGCTGGGACACAGAGAGGGTCAGGCTCTAGCCCATGTTCATTCAGCTGGTAGATCAACTGTCTAGGATCACTACCCAGGATGCTCAGTTCTTTAATGCAAATATTTGCATTTCTGAGGGATGGCCGTGTCCATCTGAGTAGAATGCTCAAATGAACTTATGATAGAAAAGAAGGGCAGGCACCATGATCTTTGGGACTCAGAGTGTGATAAAAAACGGTTACCAAAAATAAGTCAGCAAGCAATCTTAACATCACTTGGCAAGGTTCTTGGAATGTGAAAGCCCCCATCCAGCCTTTCCTGAGTGGTGAAATTTCAGTCTAATTTGAGTTTTGAAAATATTGTAACTAATCATTTTTGCACTTCCTCTCCTTGAGGATCCTGTCCTTGTGACCCCAAATGAACCCAGGGCCTTTCGTGTCCACTTTTTGGGCAGCAGAATATTTTTAAAATCAAAACAAAACATCAAATTTTCTTCACTGATAGAGATGCTCATCTACTTTGGGAGACCAAAAGAGAGAAATTAAAGACTGGCAGAGAGAGAAAGTGATCTGTCATGGTACTTCAATTCATTTGGGCCTGGAAATTATCCAAAAGGTAAAGTTTTTCTTGAAAGCAGTGTTGATGTGAGAATCATAAAACTTTTGAATCAAGTTTCAAAATCAGTCTAATAATTGAAAAAAATTTCTAGTTGTAGATGGATACAGTATTTTTATTTATTTTTGTGTGGTGCTGAGGATCCAACCCAGTGCCTCACACATGCAAGACAGGCTCTCTTCCACTGAGCTATAGCCCCAGCCACAGTTTAATAATTTTATGAGGGAAGAAAAGAAAGGATCCCTAAAGATCAGTTACCTCCAGGTGCAGTGGTTCATACCTGTAATCCCAGCAGTTTGGGAGGCTGAGGCAGGAGGATTGAGAATTCAAAGCCAGTCTCAGCAACTTGGTGAGGCCCCAAGCAACTTAGTGAGAGCCTGTCTCAAAATCAAATATAAAAAAGGGCTGGGATGTGACTCAGTGGTTAAGTATCCCTGGGTTCAATTCCTGGTACTACAAAAAAAAAAAAAAGAAAGAAAAGAAAAGAAAAAGAAAAAGAAAAAGAAAAAATCAAAGTTACCAGCCAGGTGCCATGGCACATATCTGTAATCCTAGTAACTCTGGAGGCTGAGGCAAGAAGATGGCAAGTTTGAGGCCAGCCTCAGCAACTTAGCCAGACCCTGTCTCAAAATAAAAATTTAAAAAGTTGGAGGGCTAGAGATGTAGCCCTGAGGTAAAGCACTCCTAGGTTCAATCCCCAGTACAAAAAAAAAAAAAAGTAAAGCTGCGTCCTGAAGGCTGAAGGTCACAGTTCTGAAGAATGGCAGAACCAGGCAGCTCCAGGCCTCTCTGCTCTATGTAGCTGAGGCTGCTGGAACTCTGTTGGGTGAAGCAGGGAAACAGATAAAGAGGAAAATGTGAAGCATCTTTGGGTCTAGTAAGTGGAGCAGTGTAACTGCAGAGCAACAGTTGTGTGACAGAGAAGCATCAGAGGAGGTTAAAAACATATGTGCCTTGAGGGCTGGGGATGTGGCTCAAGCGGTAGCGCGCTTGCCTGGCATGCGTGGGGCCCGGGTTCAATCCTCAGCACCACATACAAACAAAGATGTTGTGTCCACCGAAAACTAAAAAATAAAAATTCTCTCTCCTCTCTCTTTAAAAAAAAAAAAGCTTTAAAAACACAAAAACAAAAAAAAACATATGTGCCTTGAGTCCCTCCCAGGGCTGGGGTTAGAGCTTGGAGGTAACAGGGAATCCAGAACTCACACTTGAGGAAGGGGCGAGGTTAAAATAGGGTTCGGGGATATTAATCTGGTGGTGTTATGCAGGCTGGCTTTGAGGGGGGATATTTTGAGGCAGAGAGGCCAGTAGGGACTTTATTGCAGTAGGAAGGAATGTATCAGAATTGCTGGCCTCCACTCTTGACCTTTTTATGTTTTATTTACTAAAGCTGCAGTTTGTGTGTACGTGTGTGTGTGTGTGTACAAGCATGTGTGCTTGGGAGATTGCAGAGTGGGGAAAGAACAGGAAGGGCAGGTCTCAGCCTGATGCCCAGCTTGAATTCAGACTTGCTGGGACATGTCTGATGAACACATTGGGCTGGCTTCCAAAGGCATGACCTCTAAATTACCTTGAGTAATTTCCACATGGTCTATTTCCATCCTCCTTTTCCCACCTGCGTGCTTCAGCTGAAGTGGGTCCACTTACCCCAGGCAGTCATATGTACAAAGAGCCTATTGATAGCACATTGTGAACAAAGAGACAAGGGGCACCCACTGCTCCACACCCCTCCCACTCAGCCTGGGGTAGAATTCCTCCTATATGGACAAGTGAAGCGGACTGTGTATTCATAGCTACTTTTGCACCAAAGCTCAGCTGCATAATTCTCTCTCTCTCCCATCCAAGGCAAGCTGGCAGAATCTTGAGTCTCAGGACATCTGGGCGTCCTCAGAATAGGATGGTGGTGTTCTACCAGCTGCAGACTGTGACAAAGACCTGACCTTGGGAAACGATTCCCTTAGGCCTGCTCCTGACTGGCTGCTTCCCTCAAGTGGGTGACGTCAAGAGTGGAGGCCTCTCATTGGCTTATCTCCTCCCACTAGCCCAACACCATCTGAGGACTGGGGTCTATTTTTTGAATGACTTAACTGTTTCTGGTTTTCTTTTCTTTTCTTTTTTAAGAGAGAGAGAGAGAGAGAGAAAATTTTTTTTTAATATTTATTTTTTAGTTATCAGCGGACATAACATCTTTGTATGTGGTGCTGAGTATCGAACCCGGGTCGCACGCATGGTTTTCTTAATAAAGCAATTTTAATGAATTATTCAAACAACTGTCACACTAAACAAGCATAATGCATGGAATGATATTATTAAAAAAAATTGTTTGCTCTTTCATTAACCTTTCAAATTTGGTGGGGCTGGGCCTGGTGGCGCATGGCTTTAATTCCAACTACTTGGAAGGCAAGGCAGGAGAATCACAAGTTTGAGGCCAGCCTGAAGAAGTTAGTGAGACCCTGTCTCAAAGAGGAAGAAGAAAACATGTTGTGGGCTGGCACATTTATACCTGGATAAAAATTGAAGCAGACTCCAAGACATTTTAAAAACTACATTTTTATTATTGACACATAGTAATTATACTTATTTAAGGGGGACATTGTGACATTTTAATACATGTATACAACATGTAATGATCAAATCAGGGAAATCAGCATATCTGTCACCTCAGACATTTGTCATTTCTTTGTGTTGGGAACATTGAAACACCGAAGGCAGGTGTGGTATCATACAAGAGACCAAGGCAGGAGGATCACAAATTCAAGGTCAGTCTCAGCAACTTACTGGAAACCTGTCTCAAAAAAAAAAAAAAAGAAAAAAAAAAAGGGCTAAGACAGAGCTCAGTGGTAACCCTTGGATTCAATCCCCAGTACCCAGATACATATGCAAATCACTCTCTACTACTCTACTATTTTGAGATATTCAATGAATTCCCATCAAACATGGTCATTCTACAGTGCTATTGTATATTAGGTTATTCCTCCTATCCAACTATACCGCTGAACCCCACAAATTTCTAGCTCTTTCTTAGTTGCTTTAAGTCTGAATAGTCTCAACTCAGTGATTAAGATGTTTATATATGATCAATAAAACTCCAAATGACATAAAATTGAGGCTTCTCCCCCTCTCCTTTGGCTCAGGCTGGACACCTAGAAGAGGTTACCCTTCTGTCTCTGCTCTCCCACATTTGTGAACTGTGATTTCTTATCCTTGAAGCGCTGGAAAAGGAAGAAGTAGGTAAATTTCCTCTTGCTGGGTCTGTTATGGGGATTTGGCGTCGATGTTCCCTGGACTTGGCAGGTGTTTATTGTTGACATCTTGTTGGTGCTTTGTGCACACATAACCACACATACCCCCTATTTCTGGGACCTCTTAGCTCAGGAGATTTTCCTCCAGCAAAACTCTTTCTCCTTCCTTCTCCCTAGGAATCTAGTCACACCTCCAGCTTCTCTTGGTGAAAAACCAGCCTCTACCTCAGAGCAAAGCCTGTCCAAGGAAGGGGGTGTGACCCTTGTCCTTGGAAAGACTCACCGAGCACTCCTAGGCACATCCCCACCCTGCTGAGTTGTTTATCTACAAATAATAGGAGAGATCTGCGGAGCTAGGTGTCCCTGACTCAGTCAGGCTAGGTGAGGACCCATAGCAACCCCCTAGCAACCCCCAATCAGCATGAGACAGGGAAAATACCTGGAATGCCAGATGACCCTCCCAGTAGTTTATGGTGGAAACCATGGTTGATAACATGTTGGGAAACCATGTAGTTCAGCAAGTACTCCCCTTGTGGCTTAAACCAATCAGTTCAAATGAATCCCCCTCTTGTACTAACCAATCACCCCACCCAACTTGTTCCCTCCAGTGAATGTGAGAATCATATTTTAGAGTTGTTTTATGATTTTCCGGCAGTATGTGATGATTTGCTAAAAGAGCTATGATGTATGTGAAGTCCCTGCCTTCCCCAAAGAGTGTATAAAACTGCTGCAAACCCTGGGCTCGGGGCCTCTCAGCATCACCAGTTGCTGGGTTTGCGCGGAGGACCGAGCTTGCTCTTCTTTGCTGCTTACATTGATCTTGGTCTCTGGTGGTCTTTTGGGGATCCCGAATGCAAGCATAACATTGGCTGAAATTTCTTTGACCTTCCAGGCTACCCTCTTGGATGAAAATCTCTGGTCATCCCAGGTCAACCTTACCTGTCATCCACAGCTTCCACATTTACCCCCAACAACTCTGTGAGGACAGTTCCCCTGTGTAATCTTCTATTCTGCTGTACCTCTTACCATTTCTGTTTCTCAGGCTTGACACTTCAGATTGAGCTAGGGATGGGGTGGGACTCACAGCACAACTCTCTCCAAAGAAATTCTCATCCAAAATGTTCGCTTGACTTTTTTTGTGTGTGTACCATATATATTCTTGGCCGCTTTGAAAATCCTTAGCACTTCTAGTTGGGATTCAGCTAAATATCTAGTTGGGATTCAGCTAAAATATCTATTTTAACATCTTATTACATTTGATTTATGATACAACTTGAATTAAAGCACTCCTATTATCCGAATCTTGAGTATTCACAGGAACATTTATTTCTATTTTTCAAACATAAGAATTATCTACCATTTGAGTTTATTTCTCAGACCAGGCCTTCACCAATCCAAGTGTGAGTTCTAGGAGAGGGAGGTCTAATTAGAAAGAGACTTGTTGTTTCAACCAAACTCTATAAGGCCTCGGGCATCCCTGAATGGTACTCTAGCCCCATTAGGGCTTCCTTTCTGTTTCCTGGCATGCCCAGGGGCTGGTGTGAGATGGTGGAGCGGTGGCAAGGAAGAACTTCTTCAAGAGCAGATTGAAACATTGCTGGGGACTTCTTGCAGGAAGAGGCAAGAGTCAAAGGAATTCAGAAATTTGGGCCATATGTGACATTAAATATGTCACTTAAACCCTTTTGAGCCTTGGTTTCCACATCTGTAGAATTAGAATAATAATCTCTATGTTCCTTAAAGATAAGTTTGTTTGTTTGTTTTTTAACTTGTGATTGACTTTAGGGGCACTCACTCAACCACTGAGTCACATCCCCAGTCCTTTTTTGTATTTTATTTAGAGACAGGGTCTCTCTGGGTTGCTAAGTACCTCACTAAGTTGCTGAGGCTGGTTTGAACTCATGATCCTCCTGCCAGAGCTGCATAAAGAATGCAGCCTCCTGAGCTGCATAAAGAATGCAGGCGTGCGGGGCTGGAGTGGTGGCTCAGTGGTAGAGCACTTGCCTAGCATGTGTGAGGCACTGGGTTCGATTCTCAGCACCACATACAAATAAATGAACAAAATAAAGGTCCATCAACATCTAAAATTAAAAAAAAAAAAAAAAAAAAGAATGCAGGCGTGCATAAAGATGAGATCTTGTGAAATGCTTCCTACATTGAGAAGTGGATCAAAGTGTCAGTCTATCTTATACTTAGATTCTATTTGGTCTCCCTTCTCAGACTGTGGTCACCTTGCAGTGAGGAACTCATCCTGGTTTTCTTCTATTCCAGGTCAGCACAATGCATTGAGTAGAACTGCAACGCTGTTGGCACGCGTCTGTTTGGCATATCTGTGGGCATTGATTTGCTCTGCAGAGCTGCATGTTTAGCTCACGTGTGCACTCCATCCAATGACTCTGGTAAAACTGAGTGAATACTCCAATACTCCCAGCCTCATCTTATTTCTGAAAAGTCAAGCCCCAAATCCTTTAATAATAATTTGTCATTACTTAGCTTCATTATACAAGAAATCTTTGAAACATTGAACTTAATTTCCTTTGCCTCGACTTTCACTGTGACTCAAATTTCCTTGCTTTCCCCCATAGTCTTTCAACCATGTCACTTGCCTCTGGGGTTTCAGTTTTCCCTGTGAACGGTACTCAGTTGCTGAGACGGGGGTGTGGAGAAAGCGTAGGCCAGAAAACCCCAGCAACCTCTAGCTAATGCACGGGAGCCTTTAGCTTGGTGATTACTACAATTGTTGCTTAGTGGAACAGTGAGCCATTAACTGGGTTCTTACCCCCCTATTAGTATTACCCTATAATTTAATGATAATTAGAGTCCCAGAAACACAGACATAGGAAACAAGTGGGCAAAAGAGGCAGATGGCAGAGAGCAGCAGCAGCCAGGGGTTTTAATTAAAGGCACAGCTTCCAGAAGGTGCAGGGCTAAGAAAGACAGTGGGAAGGGTCTGAGCTTGGAGCAAAGCAATCAGGCAAATGATTAAGGGGATTTTGCATTGTATTTTTGGCTTGGAGGTTGGGGGCTGCTGGAGCTGGTCTGAACTGGTTTGACAGCAATGGGGATTGAAAGATCTTGAGAGGTGACTCCCTCTACCCCTCCCCCTTCTTCTCCCTTGAACTGTGGAGAAGAAGGTCTCACAGAAGTGTCTCCAAGGAGGTGCTTCTTGGTCTCACCTGGCTTCCACACCTGGGGCCCAGAGTAGACTGTTGAGTGTTTGTTGGAGCCAACATCTTTTCTGTGGTGCCACTTCAACCACTCTGAGGAACTCACCAAAGGCTCAGGCCTGGAGATGACCATTCCCCATTGGCTATGCATGTTACTAGGGAGTGTAGACCAAAGCAGTGTATGAAGCTAGGACTGTACTATGGCCTGGATGTGGTTTGTTCCCCAGAGGTTCATATGTTAGAAGACTGGTCCCAGTGTAGTGATGTTAAAAGGTGGTGGGACCTTTATCGGATATCAGTGAGAGATCATTAAGTCATTTAGGGTGTTCCCTCAGAAGAAATGAAGTAATTTTGTGGAACTTCAGTCTCTCTCTGGCTTCCTGTTCTGCTGCATGACCTCTCCCTCTTACAAGTGCTCCTACCATCATGCTGTCTTCCATGAAGCTAACATTCATTAGACCTTCACCATTGCCAAGCTGATGCTGGCACCATACCTATAAACCTCCAGACTATGAGCTAAAAAAAAATCTCTTCTCTTTATACAGTGCACAGCCTCCAGTATTTTGTTATAGCAACAAAAGCTGACAAATACAGGCTGGAAGGAGAAGTTGTGAGATAAGAATATTGGAGAAGAGTGTCCATGGACCCTTTCACAAAACTATTTTCCTATTTGAGCTCCAAAAACCTGAATCTAAATGTAGAAGTGAGGAGCCCCAGCATTTGAGGTCCCAAATGACAAGGAGATTATTATGTCACTCTCCTACATTGAACCAATCCATGAAGAAAAGAGCCAATTGTGTAATTTTATCCCAGTGCAGTCTTTCTTCATTCTTTTTTTATTTTGTGGGGGTACGGGGATTGAACTGGGGCATTTGACCACTGAACCACATCCCAAGCCCTGTTTTGTATTTTATTTAGAGACAGGGTCTCACTAAGTTACTTAGGGCCTCACTAAGTTGCTGAGGCTGGCTTTCAACTCGAGATCCTCTTGCCTCAGCCTCCTGAGCCCTTGGGATTACAGGTGTGAGCCACTGTGCCCAGCCTCTCTTCGTTCTTTAATAACAACAGCTACGTTTGGCCATAGTCAGGTTGTTAATGGCAGCATTGGCTGAGGGGACTGTGGGGATATGGTAGAGAGTGAGGGGGGGGGTGGGATCAGGACTAAGGATCAAGACGCTGGGAACTTAAGAAGCTGTAAGCAAAATTAGGAAACACTTCTGAAACTTCTCATTTTCTTTTATTCTTTACTTCTCCTCTTACCAATCAGAATCCAATCCTCCTACAGATTCATTAAACTATTTAATAACTGAACATCCTCAAAGGTATTTGGAGGAGATTCAAATACTCCAGAATGTTCTGGAAATACAAGCTTCCTTCCCATTTATCAGAGGGCAAGACCTGGGTCTTGAGAGAAGAACTTTTCCCTCCTTCTGACTCTCTTGGCATTAAATTCTCCATTTCTCATGGTAACCATGTGATCCCAAGTTGGGGACTTTCCAGGACAGTTCCAGTTTTAAATATTTTATCCTATTGTCCTTATAAGTACATATGAGGCCACATGCCCTGATTCTTTTATGGAAAAAAACCATAGGCATAAGCCTAGCTCAAAGCATTTCCTGTCTGGCTGAGTCTACATAAATCTTGAGCTTCCTTGGTGTCTAGGTATCCTGGCATTTGTGAGATTTGTTGGAACCCAAGCTAAGGAAAAGTCACCCTGCAGGTTGGTGTAGCAGCAAAGGATGGGTGACCTCCTGTTTTTCTGGGAATAGTTTGATTCTGAAGCTCCCAAAAACTCATAGAAAAACTCACCATCCCTGGGCCTGGTGGAAAAATGCCTGTAGTCCCAGCATCTTGGAAGGCTAAGTCAGGAAGAACATGAGTTAAAAGCCAGTCTCAGCAGTTTAGCAAGACCCTCAGCAACTTAGCCAAACCCTGTCTCAAAATAAAAAAGGCCAAAGATGTGGATCCATGGCAAAGTGCTACTTGGTTTAATCTCCAGTACCAAAACAAACAAACAAACAAACAAACAAAATCTCACCCTTATCACGAATAGAGACTCAGATTATTTCCACCATTAAATCTCTGTGGCTTTTAAGAAAAGCTTCCAGCTTTTCGGAATTCTCTTTCCCATTAACTACTTAAGAATCCCTTTAACAAAGAACAGAGACTTCTGATCCATAATGAGAGATGAGGGCCTTTTCCTCCTGGGACACTTTTTTTCCACACTGGATATCTTAACCCTGGTTGGGCCATTAATTCAGTTTAATGGATCCTGATCTTTGGCAAATTATCAAAACTATTCTATATAAAATATAACATAAGTAGAATAAAACATGTATATAAATAATACATATTGCATATTGACTATTATGTTCTGTAGTTTACATATATATATATATATATATATACATATATATATATATATTATATGATATAAATAGAAGACTATATGATAGAAAAGGAAAGGGAAGAGGACAGAACAGATCAGAATGCATCCCACTTGGGTGTCAGGGCACACGCCTGTAATCCCAGCAACTGAGAGGCTGAGGCAGGAGGACTGCAATTTCGAAGCCAGCCTCAGCTAATTAGCCAGGCCCTTTTCAAAATAAAAAGTAAATTAATTAATTAAAAGGGCTGGGATGTAGCTCAGTGGCTTTGTAACAATGGTCCACTTTTTGTTTTAAATATAACTCTTGCTGCTCTGCCGCTGCCACTTATTTTTAAATTACTGTCTCGCAAATTAACAAGTGATTACAACTCAACAGAAAGCCCATGGAACGCAGCCTTGGAACCACCTCTTTAGAAGCCCCTTGCTCCCCTAGATGGGCATAATCCCAGTCTCTGGGACAGGAGACCCTTATGCTTCTCCTTTGCTAGTAAAGAAATAAACCTTCTTTTTCCTTTTCTCAAAACTGTGTCCTCTTAAGAGCATGAGAAGAAGATTAACATTAAACAGGGACGAGAGGTGGGAAGGAAAGGGAGAGAGAAGGGAAATTGCATGGAAATGGAAGGAGACCCTCATTGTTATACAAAATTATATATAAGAGGAAGTGAGGGGAAAGGAAAAAAAAACAAGGGGGAGAAATGAATTACAGTAGATGGGGTAGAGAGAGAAGATGGGAGCGGAGGGGAGGGGGGATAGTAGAGAATAGGAAAGGCAGCAGAATACAAAAGACACTAGTATGGCAATATGTAAAACAGTGGATGTGTAACCGATGTGATTCTGCAATCTGTATACGGGGTAAAAATGGGAGTTCATAACCCACTTGAATCAAATGTATGAAATATGATATGTCAAGAATTATGTAATGTTTTGAACAACCAATAATAAAAATAAATAAAAATTAAAAAATGAAAAAACAAAAAAACTGTCCTCTTTATTGGAGTGGCATCAGGGACAAGGACCGAGCTTCCAGTAACAGTAAAGCTCTCCTGGGTTCAATCCCCAGTACCAAAAAAAAAAAAAAAAAAAGCAAGCATCCCACTTAGGAATCAACCTAACAAAAGAGGTGAAAGACCTCTACAACAAAAACTACAGAACACTAAAGAAAGAAATTAATGGGGCTGGGGCTCAGTGGTAGAGCGTCTGCCTCTCATGTGTGAGGCCCTGGATTTGATCCTCAGAACCATGTAAAAATAAATAAATAAAGATATTGTTTATATCTACAACCAAAAAAAATATTTAAAAACAAAGAAAGAAATTAAGAAGACCTTAGAAGATTGAAAGATCTCCCTGGTTCCTAGATAGGCAGAATTAATATTGTCAAAATGACCATACTACCAAAAGCATTATACAGATTGATCTTTCTATCTATCTATCTATCTATCTATCTATCTATCTCTTACTATGCACAAAACTCACAGTGGATCAAGGACCTAGGAATTAAACCAGAGACCCTGTGTCTAATAGAAGAAAAAATAGGCCCAAATCTCCATCATATCAGATTAGGCCCCTACTTCCTTAATAAGACTCCTATAGAACAAGAATTAAAATCAAGAATTAATAAATGGGATGGATTCAAACTAAAAAGCATCTTCTCGACAAAAGAAACAATCTGGGGTGGGGGGCGCTGGGATTGTGGCTCAGCGGTAGAGCGCTCGCCTAGCACGGGCGGGACCCAGGTTCTATCCTCAGTACCACATGGAAATTAAGGCATTGTGTTGTGTCCATCTACACCTAAAAAATAAATATTAAAAAAAAATATGTGAGGTGAATAGAGAGCCTACAGCTTGGGAGCAAATTTTAACCACTCACACATCAGATAGAGCACTAATCCCTAGGATATATAAAGAACTCAAAAAGCTAAATTTCAAAAAAAACAATAACCCAGTCAATAAATGGGCAGAGACTTCTGTTCAGAGACTTCTCAGAAAGTGATATACAATCAGTCAACAAATATATAAAAAAATGTTCAACATCTCTAGCAATTGGAGAAATGCAAATCAAAACAGTAGTTTTGATTTCTTCTCACTCCAGTCAGAATGGCAGCTATTAAACATACAAACAACAACTGGGCTGGGGTTGTGGCTCCAGAGGTAGAGCACTCGCTTAGCATGAGTGAGGCACTGGGTTTGATCCTCAGCACCACATAAAGTAAAACAAATACATTATGTCCACCTATAACTAAAAAACATTTTTTTTTTTAAAAAAAGAATACAAGCAATAAGTGTTAGCAAGGATGTGGGGGAAAAGGCACACTCATGCATTGCTGGTAGGACTGCAAAATGGTGCAGCTGATATGGAAAGCAATATGGAGATTCCTTGGAAAACTGGGAAAGGAACCACCTTTTGACCCAACTATCCCACTCTTTGGTCTATACCCAAAGGATCTAAAAAACAGCATACTACAGGGACACAGCCACATCAATGGTTATGGCAGCACAATTCACAATAGCTAAACTGTGGAACCAACCTAGATGCCCTTCAGTAGATGAATGGATAAAGAAAATGTGGTATATATACAAAATGGAATATTACTCAGCAATAAAAGAGAATAAAATTATGGCATTTGCAGGTAAATGGATGGAGTTGGAGTAGATAATGCTAAGTGAAGTTAGCCAATCCCCAAAAACCAAATGCTGAATGTTTTCTCTGAAATAAGGAGGCTGATTCATAGTGGGGTTGGGAGGGGGAGCATGAGAGGATTAGACAAACTGTAGATAGGGCAAAGGGGAAGGAGGGGGAGGGAGGGATCAAGGGGGTAAAAAAAGATGGTGGAACAAGATGGTACTACCCTAAGTCCATGTATGAAAAAGACAAAAATGGTATGAATATACTTTGTACACATGCAGAGAGATGAAAAAAATTTGCTCTACTTATATAATATGAATTGTAATTCATTCTGCTGTCATATATGACAAATTAGAATAAAAATTTAAAATAAAATAAAATAAAATGACACTGGGAAAATAAAAGCAACCATCCCACTTGGTTTGGGTAAGTATTATCTCATGAAACTTACCTTGCTGTTTTATCTACTGATAACGTGTGTTTCTCAGCCACTATGTAAAATATATTTTGTTCTGAGTCACAGTTTAAAAAGTTTGAGACCATTCTCCTAGGAGAGATCACATATGTTCACACTAAGATTGAACCGGTTCAGACAGACCCCTCCGCATGAGTCAGTTTCAACAGGGAAGGGAAAAAGAGCCCCTGTGGGGGAGGAGCCTGACCCAGGGGGTGAGATGGTGCAGAAATGAGAGGGAAAGGGCCAGAGCCAAGCCACTTCCCACCACGATAGCAACCCCGGGGCCCAGAGCACAGCAACTCGGCCAAGTATCATAAATTATTTATCCCTTTCAAGTATCACCACATCCATAAGGAAGATCGGTAATCTTACTTCTATCCCCATATTATAGATAAGGAAACTGAGGCCCACTTGCCTGAAGTCATATCGCTTGTAAGTTGCAGACAAAAACTTCATCGGGATACCAGGGGTGCTCATTTTCTCAGCCCATGCTCTCCTGCTGTCACAGAAAACAATTCCTCTTTAGCCTGTGAAAGGGGTATGGGGCTAGTCCAGCATCAGTGATCAAGGGGTACCAGTCATGGGATCCTGCTGCAGATACAGGACACGCAGGGCCAGGAAGGGAAACGGGTTTTGCAGTGCAAAGCTGGGGGGCTGGTGGCTGCGAAGGTGGCAGCCCTTCCCCAGCCCTGCTCCTGCTCGCTGCCTGCTCTGCCATCGCAGAATACGCTGCTAATTATAACCAAACACAATGAGCAATCACAGCCTGCTGGCAGTGGAGCTCTCGTTAGAGGTCTGGCAGGCTTTTCATTAGAACTTTCCGGCAGCCTGAAGGCTGCATCAGCAGAGGCTGTGGGCTTCAGCTTTCTCCTTCTGGTCCTGCACCCTTTCCACCATGCCTGGTCTACCGAATTCTATCTGGAGAGAACTTCTTAGCTCCCACTGCGTACAGCACAGGCTCTGTGGCCCTGTGTTCCCTGCCGCAGGGGGATGGGAGCCAGGACTTTGTTCTTGCCTTTAGTGAATTCATCATCTTCCCAGCAGTCTCTTGATTAGAATTAAAAAAAAAAAAAAGCCAGGCCCGGTTGAGCATGGTGGTCAGGAGAGAGCTTTTAACAGCTCCGTCTGTGGAGTCAGGTCCTCAGCTGCTTCTCTGAGGCCCTTTCTTGGTCATTGTGAAAAATGTATTTTCAGCCGTTCAATACTGCAGAGAACAAAAAGCTCTTGTTCTAAGTGATGAGTAGTACTCCTCTCTATGGGATGTCTCAGGGAGAGGAACTCTTTCAAAATCTTGGGGACCATATACCTGGGACAATAAAAGAGAGGCATGAGTCATTATCGGCCTAGGGTACGAGAGAAGGCATTTTGAAAATGCCTATTTCGAAGATTTAGGGCTCAGAAGAGCGTGAGGGGCAAGAGCCTCAGAAGTGGCACATCTGCGTCAGACTCTGGGGAAATGGACACAGTATCCATTCCTAGGATGGACAGTGCACAGGCTGATCCTTGCCAGACTTCCAAGTACCTCTGGGTTTTTCTTTTGGCCCCTTTGTCCCTTTCTCACCTTTCTTGGCATCTGAATTCTTTCAGGGGTCCCCAGAGGACCACTCCTCTTGCTTGCTCCCTATTAGAGCTTTCTTATCTGTTGTCAAGCAATCACATTAAGGCTTCAATTGAAAAACTCATCACTACATTAAAAAAAAAAGAAGAAAAGAAAAACAAAATTATTTGCTAAGATAACCTTCCTTTGGAAGGGCCATCATGGATGTTGGGGATGCCTGGGTTCTGTTTGCTGGGGACTCCCAGATGCCTCTGTAGCAGAGTGCATCCTCCAAATAATGGGACATGATACATATTTACAGGATGAATGAATGAAGGGCTGGGAGTAACATGAGAGGATGTAACAGTGGTACGCTTCATGCTTTGAATATAACCCTTGCTACTCTGCCACTGCAACTTATTTTTAAAAAGGACATGTTTCTTTCTCTTCCTCTTTCCCTGCTCTTCCTTAATCTCTCCCCCTTCCAAATCTCAGGGGAAACAGGATTACCTTTCTTCCCTGTTTTAGGCGGATTTATTTGCCCTGAGTACATACCCATAAGAATGAAGCAGAAGTAAATTCAGACTTTGGCGATGGCACCAGAAGATCTCAGAAATAACTATCTCGCAAATTAACAAGCAAATTACAACTGCAACAGAGAACACATGGAATGTAGCCTTTGAACCACTTCTTTAGAAGACCCCTGTTCCCGCTGATGGGCAGAATCACAGCCTCTGGGACAGGAGTCTCCTGTGTTTCTCCTTTGCTAGCAAAGCAGTAAACCTTCTTTGTTCTTTTTCTCAAAACAGTGTCCTTGTTATTGGATTGGCCACAAAGACATTTGGTCCCTGTTTGCCCTGGACTGAGCAATCTCTAGGAGGTGAGACTTTCAGTCATATCTTTTTTGGTTTTGCAGTTCTGTGGATTAAACCGAGGGCTTCCCACTTTCTAGGCAAGCACTCTGCCCCTGAGCTACATCCCAGCCCAGGACTTTTGAGTTTTAGAACCAGACAAGGCGGTGCCTTTGTGGGAGGTTGTGATTAGTAAACCCATGCAGGCTGAGTAGGTGGGGAAGAGGAGTGGTGGGATTGTGTTCACTAGAAAGGGGGGGGGGAGCGCGCACCAGAGGAGAGAACAAAGGCCTTTCCTTAAGAGGAAATTCTTTGTTTTTGTATTTTGCAGTGCTGGGATTGAACATGCTGGGCAAACCCTGTACCACTGAGCTACATGCCCAGCTAAGAGGTAGTTTTGTTTTTTTTTAAGAGGAAAAAAAAAAAAGTTTTATTGCTTTGCCAGCAAAAGAGAAACACAGGGAACTCCTGTCCCAGAGGCTGTGATTCTATCCATCAGCTGGAACTGGGGGTTTCTTAATAGATGATTCAAAGGCTACATTCCAGAGTTCTCTGTCATGATATTGTAATTCACTTGTTAATTTGGGAGATAGTCATTTCTAAAAACCTTCTGGTGCCATCCCCAAAGTCTCAATTACTTCATTCCAGTTGTGTTTGTGTGCTCAAGGACAGATAAGTCTTTCTTCCCCCTAGGATGGGGAAGAAAGATAATTGTTTTTCCCCGAAGATCTGGGAGGGTTGAGATTAGGGATGGGGGAGTAGAGAGGAAGAGAAAGAACATGTCCATTGCATAAATAAGTCTCAGCAGCAGAGCTGCAAGGGTTATATTCAAAGCATGAAGTGGACCACTGTTAAATCTCCTACTGTCATTTTCTACATTCCATTTCTATAGAAAAATGGCTACAGCATCTCCAAGTTGCTTCCTGCTGATAGAGGGCAAAGTTGGGGTGGGTGACTCTAAGGTCCTTGCTTAGCATCTGGATGACCATCTTAGGTGACAGCTGCCATTTTAAGGGAAAAGTTTCGTTTTCCACCCAAGGGCATTTCTGAGAAAGGCTCACCATACCCTCATACCAACCCAACCCCTAACTGATGCATTAGGACCTGCCCAGTTCTGATTCCTGAGCCTGCCCCGAAAAAGTCCCGGAACCCAAGCCTGTTTTGCCTCTCTCTGCTGTAGAGAGATGGCCTTTATTGGCTGGCTCTGACAAACTCTCATGTGTTATCTCTGCCTGGTCTCCCTCTTTCATTTCTCACATACCCATCTCTAGTTCCTCGCTTTCCCTTGAGTGACCCTAAGTCCTTGTTCTCTATCAGGTATGGCATGGATTGTTAAGGGTATTTGGCATCAGGGCAGTCCAGAGGTCCATGGTGGCAATTGGTGGGTGACTGGACAAGACATTCATAGGACAGGGATCATGCTAGGACAACAATGAAAAAGACAGCAAAACATTACATTTTTGTAAACTATTAGCACAAAAAATAGTATTTCAGCCACTCTCAAAAACTCATGACAAACTTGTGACTCTAGAGCCTTTGTGATAGTATTAGGCACTCCCACCCAAGAACCCTTCCTTTGTAGCCCCCAGCTTTACTTACTTTTGGTGGAGCTGACTAAAGTATACATCTTAAGTTATATTAAGAAAAACATTGTCTTTTCCTTTTAAATGTCCATGTAGGACCGTGCCTTGGTTATACTCTCCTGCCAGGTGTTTAAGACCAAGTCGGTCAAAACTGATCTTGTTCTTATCTACTCTTAGAGTCAGCTGAGATTGCTCAGAGATCACTCTTGGGAAGACGTCAGAGGACTCTTGGCTCCATTAGCCTTCTTTTACCACTCATGCCATTAGCCAGGATAGATCAGAGTTTGATGACCATACCTGGTTTCCTCTCCAATGACTCTCCTGCTAAGAGATAATTCTTTTTTTTTTTTATTGTTGGTTGTTCAAAACATTACATAGTTCTTGATATATCATCTTTCACACTTTGCTTCAAGTGGGTTATGAACTCCCATTTTTAGCCCATATACAGATTGCAGAATCACATCAATTACACATCCATTGATTTACATATTGCCATACTAGTGACTGTCGTGTTCTGCTACCTTTCCTATCCTCTACTATCCCCCCTCCCCTCCCCTCCCCTCTCCTCTTCTCTCTCTACCCCCTCTACTGACCTTCATTTCTCCCCCTTGTATTATTTTTCCCTTTCCCCTCATTTCCTCTTGAATGTTCTTTTGTATAACCCTGAGGGTCTCCTTCCATTTCCATGCAATTTCCCTTTTCTCTCCCTTTCCCTCCCACCTCTCATCTCTGTTTAATGTTAATCTTCTCATGCTCTTCGTCCCTACTCTGTTCTTAGTTACTCTCCTTATATCAAAGAAGACGTTTGGCATTTGTTTTTTAGGGATTGGCTAGCTTCACTTAGCATAATCTGCTCTAGTGCCATCCATTTCCCTGCAAATTCTATGATTTTGTCATTTTTTAATGCAGAGTAATATATAATGTATAAATGCCACATTTTTTTAATCCATTCGTCTATTGAAGGGCATCTGGGTTGGTTCCACAGTCAGAGATAATTCTTAAAAGGAGAAATAGATATGGCCAATAAAGACATAGGGGAAAAGTCCAAACCACTTGGTAATCTTAAAATACAAACTAAAGAAATTTTCATCTATTTGTCACAAATTTAAAAACATATGGTC